AATGGGATTAATCATAATTTCATGATTATGTAACTATATTAATGTTTGATCATTAGAAGGATTGAGCTGTAGATTGTTTATTTATTTATTTATTTATTTATAATTTGAGTACTGAAGCACAAACTTGATACATAAGAGATTAATTTCTAAGATTTTAGTAAACTAATAAATTTGTTATCAACTAAGGCCTCGTTTGATTCCTGCATTCCTTTTGCAGAAATTTATAGAGAAACAATTATTAATGAAATAGAGCTCCCATAAAATTTACTAAAGAAAAATGACTGTTTGATTTCATTTCTTTTTCTTGCATACACAAACTAAAAAAGCTAATTTTTTTTTTAACAAAAAGGAAACTTTTTATTCCATAAAAAGAGCGATTTCAAGATCCAAAAAGCAAATGCAAAAACAAGAGAAAAAAAAAAACCCCCGAGGGCTCAGTAGAAGGCCGAGACTACCAACTTCCCATACGACAAGCTCGGACTGTCCAATTGGAGGACCAAAACGCGAAGCAGCCATCCTAACGAGATCAACACCAAGGTTGCCATGAGCTAAGCTGACGGATAAGCGAGCCACAATCACATCATTGCCTAGCAACAACCAACGAAAAAAAAAGAAAAATGAGATCTCCAAAGGCACTTAAGCCCACTGAAAGAGCCAATACGAATGCACACACTATCACCAAAAGAATCACCCAACCAGCCCAGAGAATAGATACCTTGTCCAGCCAACCAAAGGGCCACCCAAAAAAGAAAACCAAGTACACCATCACCAACCACGTCTACCCCTGCCACGAGTCCTACCACGAGAGGCAAGAGAAACAAGAGATTTATTTCTCAATAAGAAAAAAGAATCGCCCGGATCCTCATCCCCAGATGATTCAAAATAATCAAAATCTCGTCTTGTACCCAATCCAATTGCACACGAACATCCAATCCCGAATTGTCCCCCACATGATACACTAAACTTTGAGGATCAATTAATGTAATAAGTACATCCACAAAATTATTGTTAACTAAATAGTCGTCCAAGACTGGATGCAAACTAGAGTGAGAAGACACCTCACAAACCTCCGCACCCAAATTATCAGACGGAAGAGCAGCAGCCTCATGAGGGCAATCCAAAACAATAGGCTTAAAAGAAATTTCACCCAAAACAGCCGGGGCACACACCACTGACAACAAACGATCAGCACCACCATAATTATCAGCACTGAGACAAGTTCTAGGGGAGACCATAAGGAGATCTAAATCACCTAAAATGGAACCTTGAGGGAGAAAGGGTAAAGCATCAGGGGACAAAACAGCAACACCCACACCACCATCATCCTTACCACCCGAAAGGTCCACATTATTAACCACATCAATTACCACATTCTCAATAGTTAAATTAGCTTGAGGGGTATCCAAATCAACCCCCTGAACCACAGGCTGCGCATCCAAAGCCGAAGTTTGAAGAATGGGTTCAACAGAAAAAACTTGCTCAGCCTCAACATTATAAGAAGGGAGAATTGGATCAGAGACAATAGAATCATTCTTAGCAACCTTAGACGAAATAGATAAATCAACCTCATGACGGCAATTACCCAAAAAATGCCCAAATTTTTTACATGAAGAACAAAAAGAAGGGAAATCCTCCAAAACAACATGCTGAACATACCCAGATAATTCAGGGCCTAACCAAACACGATCGAGATAGGATTTAGTAACATCTAATTCCACTAACACACGAGCAAGAGATGGCCTAGACCCAATAGCAGTAGCATTATCGATTTTAAGGGGCTTTCCAAAGATTAAACCCAAGCCATGAAGTATTCGGGGAGAGAAGAGATGGGGGCGCATAAGAGGGAAAGACACCCAAATGGGAACAATTAGCGACTCCACCCCAATGCCCACAGAAGGCAGCCATTTGATGAGTTTCATAAAGCAGTTATAAACTAAGTAAGATCCATGGCAAAAGACCCGACAATAATCAAGATCGTTTTTAAGCTTAATGAGGATATGCGACGGGTCCAGCAACGTAACAGAAAATTCACCATTCAATTTTAGATTGAAGAAAAACCGTCAAATAGAGTCCAAAGAAGGACTCTTAGAAGGAAAAAATCCGACTAGAGAGAACTGGAAAGGCGCGGCCAACACAGAGATTTCTTGTTCCGAGATCCAAAGAGAGGGAATAAAATGAAAAGAAGAAACCCTAAGATCCGGAAAAATGGGATCATCTTGCTAACCCGCAAGTGCATCCAAAAATGAACGAGAAGAAAAAGAAACCACTAAAAAATCAGGGTCACATAACTTCGGCGGCATGCCGGCAACCACCGGGCAGAACCAAAAACAACGAAAACCCAAAGTAAAAAATCAGAGCAATAGGAACTTCCCATATGAAAACAGGAAGACGAAGCCACCACGGCGAGGAGCCCCAGCCATAGGAACACACCAGAGACGGCTAGGGCAAAAGCCTTAGCAATGCAGAAGCGGGAGCGAGAGGAAAAGTGGCATAAATTAAAAGTGGCACTAAACTAGCAACTCTAAAAACTAAAAAAGCTAATTAATTACGTTTGGTTATATTTAACGCTCCACTATTCTAATCATAAAAAACAAATTTTTCCTCTACTTAACAGTAAGTACATACGAAACTACTTTACCTAGACCATCATCATATCACATCTAACATGGCGATCAATTATCTGCGACAACCATTTCTCTCTGAACAGTCTTTTGATATTTTCAGATAGGCAGAAATACGCCGTTTTATGAAAACAAATTTTAGAGAAGTTGTGTTAACAAATAGATAGCTGTAACTATTTTCGGCGATTCAAACCAGAAACATCATAATTAAGTCCAAACAAACGAGGCCTAAGTAAGCTCTAAACTATCCAAAAAGAGACTTTTCATCTATATTTGGACTGAAAATATCTTTGATTAAGTAGTGAAAACCGTTGTCTATACCTATCTTTAGCGATAGTTTTCAAACCGTTGCTATAAACTACTGCTGCGAAAACATTAACTTTTTTATAGTGATTTGGATCAATTAAAATAAATTCATACATATATCATATACACAAGATTCAAATCCAAATTCTTTAAATTGATAATCAAAGCTCCTAATGAACAGAAGCTGTTATTAGAAACAAAACTGATTTGACTCAACCAAAGAGAGAGAGAGAGAGAATTCGTTTAACACGACAGCAGAACAGCTCAGGTACGTGCGACGTCGCAGGTGCTGCGACAGCTTCAAAATAAGCTGCACTTATCCTTACTGCTTGCTAGAGCGACATATGGAATCTGATCTACAGCATAAATAAACTTTGGACTTTGAAAGTTAATTCACAATAATGAAATAAATATATAACAGCCATCTGTCATATTTATAAATTCAATCAATAATAATAATAAATTCTAAGAAGAAAAAATTTGATGAAAAGACAAACTATAGTCATTCAAGTCTAAGAAAATCAAATTGTTTTGGCGTACTATTACTTTGCCATCATGAATTGACCTCTTACCATTTTTCTTTTAGAGAAAATGTCAAAATTTTAAGATTTAATTTTAAAAATTGTAAGCCAATTTGATCAATGGAAGATTGCCTCTGAATTTTATGCAGGGCAAATAAAGCCTTTCGTTGTTTTAGCATTGAACTAGAAATGCAAGGATTTTTACATGAAAGATCCTGAATACAGAAAAACCACAGGGCCATGTTAGTTGAACTAATTTCACTAGTATTTAAGTAGATTACAAAAACCTCCCTTAAACTTGAGGACAATTAGATTACAAAAGTTGATAAAGTGAATTGAACTTCATGTGGGTAATACTGGTCGGGCAGAAGTCTGATGTCGATCGATGAACAGGCAGAAGTCTGACGATGATCGAGAACAACTCTGGCGACTGGCGATGTTTAGAAAGAAGTTAGGCGGCTTTCGTGAATAACTTCGGCGATAGTCGGGAAGAACTTCAACGACGTTCGAAAAGAAATTTGGCAGCATTCGGGAAGAACATTGGCATTGGTCGAGAATAACTACAATAATGGTAGAAAAGAACTCCGGCGGTGGTTGAGGAGAAGTCCAATGGTGGTCATGTAGAACTCAAGTGATGTTTGGAAAGACTTCGACGGCAGTCGGGAAGAACTCTAGCGGTGGTCGGTGAGAACCCCAATGGTTTTCTGGAAGAACTCTGGCGGTGGTCGAAGAGAACTCTGATGGTAGTCAAGGAGAACTTCGACGGTGGTCAAAAAGAACTCCAACGACGGTTGGGAAGAGCTCCAATGACATCCGAGGAGAACTCCAATGGTGGTTGGTGACAATCGAATTCCCTAAGTTTTCTTCTTTTTCCCCTCCCCTATGTGAAAAATGGGAGGCTTATTTATAATTTTTTGAGAGTGACATGACTTGTAAATAGTGAGAAGATCAAGGGTAAGGTGAAAGTGTTCACTCAGACGGCTCATAGTGGTTCATTTGATCATAAAGCGTTTATAAAGTATTGAGTGTCTTACGATGTTATAATTTGACGATCTTGGGCTTCATGGATTTGTCTCGCCGAGCCGCTCGATTCAATTCGACTATAAGCATGCCATGTTTTGAAGTCATTTGATTATTCAATTGATGCTTTGAAGCGTTCAAAACTTCAAATACGCTTTGGTCCTTTTGATTTGGGTTCATTTGGGCTTAGATTAGACTGATTTTGCTGTCGTTTGATTTGTCTCTTCGAGATGTTCAATTGAACTATAAACTTGTCAAGATCAAAGTTTGGATAGTCTCAAAATTAATGTTTTGAAATCTACTACTCATATTTACATCAAGATTCGTGCCCAGTCAATGTGAATTTTTGCTGACATTTTCAACGGCTATGATTCCACTCTACCCACCCACCACTTTTAACTTCCAAGTCCTCAGGGACACTGAACGCAACACCCGCCGGCCTACTTAAGCCGGCCGTTAATTCAGCCGAAGACTAGCCCAGCCCGTAATCCCTAGCATACGCTCTATGTCGTCGAACCCATCATCAGAAATCGCCGGCATCAATAACGACGACGATTCGATCATTTCCAATCTCCGCGCCTCCCACGCCGCCCTATCCAACATCGTCCGATCCTCCATCGCCGCCGCCCGAGAGCTTGACGCAGCCGACGGCCGAATTTCATGCCGGCAAGAATTCCTCGCCGGCATAACCGCCGCGATCGCACCGCTTCAATCTCATGCACTCGCCACGAAAGCCTTGAACGTGCGAATCAACCAGGCTGTTTCTCCGGCCATATCCTTTCTCCAAGCCTTTTCTCGAGCCAAACGGCTTGAACACCGCCTACTCGCTCTTTCCTCTGGAGACGGAGGCGACGAAGGCTGTAGCGCGGATCATACTATGACATATGTGGACTGCGTCCAAAAGCTGAGCGCGGCGGTGGCGGAGGTGACGGCCGAGTGTGAGCCTGCGGTACAGAGGTTGCAGGACGCGGTGGAGTTCTTGGGAAGGACGAAGGCGACTGATAAGCTGAGGCTGAGGCGGCTGAAAGATGCGGCGGCGGCGTTGAGAGCGGTTTGTGAGGAGGAGGTGGAGCAGATGAGGTAGGTGAAAGTAATTCTTTCAAAATATTATTTTAAAAACATTTTACCGCTAAGAAAAAGTTCATTTGCTGCATTTACTTACATATAATACTTTGGAAAATTTAGTTATTCTTTTGCAAGCGAAACCCTAAAATTAGAATTAAATTCCGGGTAAGCAAAAAATTTGATTTCAACGAACTTGTAGTCTACTGAATATTTTGACGAGACAAATTCAATGACACAAATTTGAGTTTAGTCCAAAAGAGCTTAGATTTGGCACTTAGGGCGCAATAAAAAATTTAACATACTAATTAAAGAACTAGACAATATTCAAATCTCACATGTCTATAGCGAAATCGAGTGTCTCGATTAAGCAATGAGCCCAAGATCTTCTAATTCTAACATTCTTAAGGCACATTGTTGAAAGAACAACCAATGATATATAACGGGATTTTATTTGAGTCATTCGATGGAGTTTTTCATATTGACTATATTTATGAAATATGTCACTCAAAAAATATATATAAATAGACCCCTAATCTTTTCTCAACAAGATTTCAATGTGACATCCTCACATATTCTTTGTCCACAGTGCGATCAAGATTTTGAGAGGAAAGAGGTTATGCGACAAATGAGAACGTATCGAAAGAAGTTAGAGGGGCAATTTAATAAACATGAAATTTCAACTATTAAATAAATATGATGTTTTTAAAAATTATTTATATAAATCCCTCAACAATTACTTACATAAATATTGTTTCATATAAATGCCAACTATATGAATCATCTAACTTGCACGCCTCTGTAAATTATGAGAAATTATTAAGGCGAAGTCTGGATGAAATGTTACGTCTATATATTCGAGTGTACACAATGTGTGCAAATTATGTACAAAAATATATTGTTTATATATAATTCGGATATATAGACTCCACACATAATAATTTGTCGTAAAATTGTGGCTTACTCTATCATTAATGGGTGATATTTTAAATTTTTGGTATGGTGACCAAATTTAATTATTAAGCAGGTATGAGGGCCCACTTGACGAGGCCCTGCTTCGGCTTCAGGACGAATACGAGGAGATTCTACGGCGGCTGCGCCACCCGGAAGTCGGCGAGAGTGCCGGTTCCGGAGAAGGCGAGTCGGAACCGGACGGTATGGATCGGCTTGGGCAAGGAATGGACGGTCCAGATTGGCCGGCCCTGGGGTCGCCGGAGCAGATCGAGGTGCTGCGCCGGATCTTCGAGACCCTCACTTCCAATGACTGCCTCGATATCTGCATCGATATCTTCGTCAAGGTTAAAGTCAACTGAAACGCCCAGCTCCCATCCATAGCTTAAGACGAAGAGAAATATTTCAAAAAATAAATAAATAATACAAACTAATTTAAACAAATTATTTATTACGGATATAAATTTTCATTATTTATCTAAAAACAAAAAAAGATAAATTTTTAGCCTTTTTAAAATTTTATAATTTTCATTATTATTATTTCAATTAACTCTTGAGAAATGTTATATATATATATTATTTGTAATCAAATATATCATTATTATTCCTGATAAATATTCATAATAAATAATAACAAAATATTTAAGATCACATAAATTTAAAAATAAATAAAAAAATAAGTTCGCCATTAATCTCTGATTCATCTTTGTAAAAAAAATAAATAATAAACCTGCAGGTTCGCTATCGCCAAGTAGCCAAAGCTCTGATGCGGCTAAACCCGGAGTACCTGAAGACCTACGAACCAGAAGATATCGACCGCATAGAATGGGAATCCCTCGAATCCTCCATCTCCCTATGGATCTGCCACCTCCGGGTCGCCGTTCACTCCGTTCTCGCCGCCGAAAAACATCTCTCCCGCGCCGTCCTTTCATCCGCCATGGACGGCGCCGTCTGGCCCGAATGCTTCGCCCAAATCTCTGACCGCATAATGGCTGTTTTCCTCCGTTTCGGGGAAGGCGTCGCCCTCTCCTCCCCCGAGCCTCAAAAGCTTTTCCGCCTCCTCGAAATGTTCTCCGCCGCCTCCCGCCTCCGCCCAGTTCTCTCGCTTCTGTTTGACGACGCTGCCCCCGATATCGCAGCAAGGTTCCGAGAGCTTCAGAAGATGCTCGTCAACGCCGCATCCCGTGCTTTCGCGACGCTTGAGAATCTTCCCGACGCTTCCCCGCCGCCGAGCGACGCTTCCGTTCCGGGAGTGGTTCGGTATGTGATTAATTATCTGAAGTGTGTTGCCGACGGGAAATATGCGTCGGCGATGGTGCACGTGCTCCGGACGGAGAGCTTATGGAAAGCTGGGTTTTTGTCGCGGCCCGACCCGGACGAAGCACTGCTGGGGGAATCTCTTGCCAGAGCGCTCGACGCGCTGCTTGCCATTGTGGAGCTGAAGCGTGGGAGGTAAGTGTTGATTAATTATATATTTTGATTTTCTTAAAAAAAAATCTTTAATTAAATATGTTATAGTTATATTTAAGATTAGTACATGTCAAATTTAGATTATTTGGTTAGAATAAATTATTTTCAAATAAAAATTATATAAAAAAAGAGTTTAAAATTACTACATTTAGTTTAAAATAATATAATAAAATTTTAAATAAGTTATATTAATATAAAATAAATTTAATAATATTTAAATTCATCTTAATAAAATTTATATTAAGATATTGGAACATAAATTTTTCTACCATCTTTTTATTGTTGACTTTCTATCTCATCTTTGCTTAATAAATTTAATTAAAAAATAAAAAATAAATAGCTTTAAATGATGAAATAAAATTAGTTCAAGACTTGCTCAAATCTTTTCTTTAAAAATGAGTTTTGTAAATTTTAATTAGTTTTAAATAAGGGAAATATATGAGGATATTTCAAATATCATGATCAAATATTAGTTATAATATATTGTTTAAAATATTAAGTTCATTTTTTAAGAAGAATATAATATATGAAAAATAAATTCAATTTATATAATTATCCCATGAATAAGATCATAGTTGTAGAATTAATAGTCATAGGATAAATCCTTTTTTTCATGACAATCATTCAAACTAAATTCCACATTCATTCATTATTTTATGATAATATTTGATAGATAAATATTTCGTATGTTGAACTATAATAATAAAAGCCCTGTCAATAGCATCTATCATTTCAACAACAATAAAATTTTTATTCCAACTATTGTACTGCTAAGAATAAAATTCTCATTAAAATATAATAATCTATCCTTTTTTTTAAAATAATAATCTATCATTCATAGAAAAATTATTATATGAGAAGTCCTTATGGTGTTCGGTCTTTAATCATATGACTAAGAATGAATTTTTTTATGGTACATGAGAGATTATTACGTGCATAGTCCGAACATGGATAATTGTTCAGTTTTGTGTATAGTCCGAACATTGATAATTGTTCAATTTTGTGACTCTAAACAGTAAAAACATATTGACGAACAATAAAAAATAGTAGTGAACAATAAATGATCTTTTACTATTCACAATCACAATCGAATAGTTCTCCATATCTAAACTTCGCACATAATAATCTCTTCTTACATAATGAAAAGTTAAAGGTAGATTTACCCGCGCATAATAATTTCTCTCTTTTATGAGACTAAAATAATTAGATTACAGGTACAAGGACAGAGTGGCCTCTCAACTGTTCGCGATGAACTCATACTGGTACATGTACATGAGAACCCGAGGCTCGGAGCTGGCTCGTCTTGTAGGCGAGGAAGAGATGAGAGAAAAGTACAAAGCTGCGGCGGAGGCGGCGGCCTACGCGTACCAGAAGGAGGCGTGGGGTCCAATGTTGAGAATGGTGCAGACCGACGTCGGAACGGAGAAAGGGGAGGCGGCGAGGGCGGTGGCGAGAGGAAAGGTTGAGGTTTTCGCAAGAGAGGTGGAGGAGATCTTGACAAGGCATAGAGCGGCGGGTTATAAGGTTCCGGACAGGGATTTGAGGGAACAGATTAAAAAAGCTGTGAAGGAGATGGTGGTGCCGGCTTATGAGCGGTTCTTGCATAGTTGCTCTACGGCGATGCAGGGGCGGCCGGTTCTGACGCCGGAGGCTTTGAAGGAGTTGATTGGGAGGCTGTTTGAAGGCAGTGGAGGAAGTGGCGGCGGCAACGCCGGGAGAGGGGAGGTTGGGGTGGGAGCGGCGGCGGAGGAATTGGTGCCGTCGCCAGGAGGGGGGAGGTTGAGAAGAGAGAGGAGGAGGGTGGAGGGGCTTAGAGCTGGAGAGGGAAGTACAGAATCGCTATGAAGTTTTAATCTCTTCTTTCGTTTAATGTTTAGTTGATGAGATTTTTGGGATTGAAATCTAAAATGAAATCTATCATATAAAGGATGATTAATTACTAAGATTTTATCAATATTATTAATCAAATTTCTTTCAACAAAAGAGATAAGCCGAAGAAGAGCATACAGGGAGGACAAATGTTTTATATTACATAGAAAAGAATAAAGTTAACCAAAATTGATTTACCAGATATATTGTCTATACTATGTGTGATTTGCAAAGCTGTACAGTAGCAATCGGAATTGGATTAAGCCTCGTTTGGGACGGCTTTCTTACTACTTCTTAAAATAATTTTTTTGTATAAAAATTAAAATTTTTATACTAGAAAGCTGTTTTAAGAAGCAGCAAGAAAGCTGTCCCAAAGAAAGCCTTAATCTGCATCATACAGTTTAGTCAAAAAACCTGTGAAACCTTTTGCCCTTCATTTGCAGCTGGTCTTTCCTGCGATGTGCTCAGCACCTTTACCTTGAAGATAGCCTGTACAAATGAAGTATTCTTACATGAAAAATGAGGATGACAAATTGATAGAAATAGTAAAAAATTAGAGAAACTAGTTAGAGAATAATCTTCTCAGACTATTTAGGCTTGCCATGATCATTCAAAGTTCAAACTTGAAGTGAAAATGCCTCAAAAAGCCTATATTTGCTTAAAATTTTAACTAAAATTATGGCTGCAGCTGTCTGTCAAATTAGTTGAAGAGCTGTTTTGACAAAAGTAGAGTTTGTAAAAATTGTTATGACTATCTTATGCAACGGTATCGAGCCGTACCGAACCGTGGAACCGAGTAGTACCGAGCCGCGGTACAATAAAAGAATGATGTGGTGCATTTTTTTTTTCATATGACGTCTTTATTAGGACCAGCAAAAGAACTAAAAATAATAAATGTTTCTCCTTCGATGATAAAGAAGAGTTACCATGAAGATAGCTGCACAACCAAAAATTGCCTGCATAGTACTACATTCAATCTATGGAGTTTCATAGATCTAAAAACAAAGTATGATATATTATTGCATATGGAGATGTGATGATAAAAAATTATTCCAAAGAAGCCACATACTTGCTTATCAGAACCAAATTCAATAGAGTGCGATGAACGGACACGAACGGGCGAATTTGGCGGTAATTGGTATCGTCTTCCTTCATTGCTGTAATAAAGGAATCAGTTGTTGTAAAACAGAGGTGTAATATATCATCTTGAAAAAGTTATCCCAAATAATGCAAATATCATGGCAATCTTTAGAGGAATTTTTATGAATAAATGCGTCAAAATTTAAGCAAAAAATTTTTGCATCCATCTCCGTGACCTAGATTGATCGATCTAATGCATCAATTGATGGAGAGTTTATTTTGTGCGGACGTCAGATGCAACTCTATGTTCGGATGCTATGGTACCGAGCGGTGCCGAACCATGGTATTGAGCCGCGTTACAATAAAAGGGTGACGTGGTGCATTTTTATTAGTCTCCGGATGACGTTCAGTGTCCGCACATAATAATTTTTCCAGTTTAAGAGTTATCTTCATATGACGTCTTTATTAGGACTAGCAAGAGAAGCAACAAAAGACCTAAAAATAATAAATGTTTCTCCTTCGATGGTAAAGAAGAGTTTCCATGAAGATATCTACACAACCAAAAATTGCCTGCATTGTACATTCAATCTATGGAGTTTCATAGATCTAAAAACAAAGTATGATATATTATTGCATATGGAGATGTGATGATAAAAAAATATTCTGAAGAAGCCACATACTTGCTTATCAGAACCAAATTCAATAGAGTGCGATGAACGGACACGAACGGGCGAATTTGGCGGTAATTGGTATCGTCTTCCTTCATTGCTGTAATAAAAAATGAAAAATGAACATTTTGTAATTGGGATTGAGAGAGAAAATGACAATTTTTCTACTACTCACTCAATAATCCAGGTACCATGCTGGCTCTGCAAGTCGGTCAAGTAAAAGATACTATTTTTGCACGTTATACGCGCATGAACTTTATGAACCTATAAAAGGAGAAGTTTTTAACGTCAATCAACTGAAAGAAAGCCGGAGGAGCATCCATATAAACTTTTCTTTGGTGATATCCAATTTGCCCTTGCAGAGAGTAGGTCAGCAGCGCAGGAAAAAAAAAAGAAAATTTACTTCTTAAAATTTCTTAGAAAGCACATGATAGCAATGCATCTGCACAAAAAACACCCAATAAACACATTTCACAGTTCACAAATTCTTAATCTTTAAACAAAAAAAACAATATTTTTTGAGAAACCAATAACCTCAACAAGAAATAACAACAATAAATTAAGAATTAAAAAAAACAATGCAAATGAATTGAAAATCATAAATTTGTTGAAAATCATATTGCATTGAAATTGTGATGTAGGATGCAAGAAATCTTAGAAGTCTAGGGTTCATGTTACAACTGGAAGATGCAATGTAGAAGGCACACAAAGCAGATTTAAAATTCATAGTTCTAAGAACCACAATCAAAGAATTTCAGCAACAAAACAGCCACTAAAAATGCAAAATACGATTGGAATTAGGACTTAGCTCCCAACAAGATCATAATCGGAAGACCCTACAAGAACCGGGCAATAAGAGATTGAAAGTTACTATAGGAGCCAACTCAGGAGTTTACAGATATCGCCACCGATTAAAAAAAAAACGCTAGGAATTAAAATAGAGCCATTGAACTGAATAGGAAATCAATGGCAGAATCAGTCAACAAAGCAATCAAAACTATGAAATCATGGTTGAATCACACCACAAAACAACTAAGGCATGGAATTATAACATATCATATTCTCATAGGCATCATCATAGACAAGTTTCCTAACAAAAAAAACCTCATAAATAGAATTAACAAGATAAAACAACTAAAAAAAAAAATAGTTTGCTAATTTGTTCATCATAATGCACAAGAATTCAACTTTTGATTAGTGTAGAACTTCACATTTCTATCAAATGATAAATGACATTACAAAATCTAAGGATCCTAATATAACAAAATGATGCAATGCAAACAATCTAACAAAACAATTTTAGTCATTGGCATTTCCAAAGATGCCAGCATGGTTGCAAAACAAACAAACATAGAAGATTGGAAAGGAAGAGCGCCTCATATCACAAGGGTTCAATATGACAAAAAGTTAACTTGTTCAATCAATTTTATCAGAGCATTGGTACTCTGTGTCAATTAATATCCCCAGCATTTTCATAAAAAAGTACTAGCATTAAGTGATCCAAAGAACATTCTGCAAAAAGTGGGAACCGATATTGGATGCTTTATCCCAATCAGTCAGGTTAATTTCTCATTATAGAAGAGAACTACTATTATCTTGGCAAAAAGGGGGAAAAATGAAGTTCGATTGGAGATGAATGACGGCATTTTTTAGTTTCACGGCAATTTGGAGTGAAAAATGAGATTTTCGGTTGGAGATGCCCTTAGGTGCATACATAAGGTTTCACGTAAGTGAATATATACACGAGATGAACAGCTCAATACTCATTCATGTAAGAGTTTATATTTATTTCTCTATATGATTGATCAAACTTAAACAAAATTTTAAAAACTCATCAAATAAATAAATAAACTTGAATACTACTTTATTTGTTCATTTATGTTTGTGACTATGCACATTTATTGTTTAACAAATAGCTCACTAAGAACTCAATAAAATGTTCATTTGATGATGGCCTAATTGCTCATCTGATAACTTATTGTATACTCTTGTATTAATTTTTTCATCTCACATGCTTTAAAAATTAAGTATATTATTAAATGTATATATATGATAAATATATTAAATAAATAGCTAGATATATAGATTAAAAACTTTCTTATTGATATTTAAACTTTACCAAATAATTTAAGTAATACTCTAATAAATTATGCCAATTTTGATTGAAATTTATAAATTTAATTATATTTAATAAGTCATATGTTTAAATCATTAGCATCAAACATAAAATTTGTTATACTCAACTATCACTCATAAAAACACTAATAAAAAAGCTTGAATAAAATTTTAAAATTCGGGACAAGTTCAAAGATGTCATGTGCATGAACATATTCCATTCATCCATGCTAGAGCCCAAGTTTTCAAAATGATATGCGCAATGTGATGTATAAGGCTTGTTTTTCTGCTTTAATAAGCAAAATGCAAATTGAATAAATGCTTCACATAATAGAGAGTTAGTTCATGACTTCTATATCATATTATGAGCATATAATAGTCATTTAATTACACAAATTAAATCACATTAGATAACAATTTTCAGAAAATATAATGATAAGTTCAATAATAATAATTTCCATCTATTCAAAAGCAAAAAGAAAATCAAATACATAATAATGAAGTGATGAAAGAATATTTAAAAGTAAAAAATACTTCCGAGATTGAGTGACTAACTAGAGACCAAGAGGTGTAGCCGTGTAGGTGGTATGAAACAAGAGAGAGCATGAAGATATGACATTGAGAAACATCCTCAAGAAGAAGTTTATAAGCAATAAGCTACTAGCGCCAACAACAAGAACAAGTGATAAGCATATAAGAAAACTAGTGGCTAAGAAAGGGTGAAGAGAAGAACATCCAAAAAATACCTAGTTCCAATGGGAGAAAAAATAGAAACAAGGAACTACGACTCAATACAACAACAACAACAACATCAAGCCTTTATCCCACTACGTGGGGTCGGCTGCATAAATCCTTTTTCTCCATTGTGTCCTATTAAAAGTCAAATTCTCGTTTAAATCTAATAAAGAAAGGTCATTCCTAATATTTTCTAACCAAGTCTTTTTAGGTCTACCCCTACCTTTCTTAACATAAGTCAAATCTAATACCTCTACTCTCCTAACCGGGTCATCGCAAGGCCGCCGTTTTATGTGACCAAACCATCTAAGGCGACTTTCTCTAATCTTATCTTCTACTGGAGCTACTCCAACCTTTTCACGTATATGCTCATTTCGTATCCTATCTCTAAGGGTAAAGCCACTCATCCACCTGAGCATCCTCATCTCTGCCACACTTAACTTAGTATTATGCTTCTCTTTTAAAGGCCAACATTCGGCACCATAAAGCATTGCAGGGCTCACTACCATCTTATAGAATTTTCCCTTAAGTTTGAGGGGTACATTTCTATCACATAACAAGCCCGATGCATTCCTCCACTTCAACCATCCAACTTGAATTCTGCTGATAATATCCCCATCAATGAGTAAAAAAAATATTAAGTAAATCTTTGTGCCCATTTATTACAGTAGATGTTGAACCAAAACATGAAATAAAAATAGGATTTCATTTTGAGTCAGAGCGAAGCACACAATGATATAATGCAAAATGAAGAAACAGAGCGACAAGCGTGCTTTAGTGTGAGCTTGTGCTTCCCAACCGAATGATGCATAGAACCAATGCATTGCATTGCATTGCTTCGCTCCTGAAGTATGCTTTTAATAACAGTTGCTAGAGTACACAAACAAAGATGCTATATTATACCCTCAAAAAATACATTGTAGTTTACAAGAGCACATAAAGTGTAATAAACAATAAATTACAAACTTAAACAATATATCATGTAGTGCATATCTTTTTCTCCTACTTCCAGGCTAATATGCTTATGGTATCCAAGATTTTTTCAAAATTTATAAGAGGATGTATGCATCGAAGAAGGCATCTGTGGATAGTTCAAGTATTTTACAGAAATAAATATAAGTACAGAACTCTTTTAGATATAATCACCAATCAAAACTAGAAATGAACAGAAATATTAACTATTTGAGGTAATTAAAAGAAAATCTCACAATATATGGCACAGATCATTTCGAACTATGAAGAAAATGAAATTATGCATCTGGCTGTTTGTTATGTAAAAATCGATGTATTTCGGCATAAAATAAAAACAATTGCATAAAGGACATACAGTCATACACCAAGTTTTTTACCAAATCACCTGCGGAAAAGGTAAATGGATCAATGTTCCTTCCGAGCCATCATTTGAAATACTCCTGCAAAAATCAGCATGTGCTACACTAAAATCTTCAGCCATGAGGACAAACCAGAAGATAAGATTGGAGAGCAAACTACCCAATGATATAAAATCTCTTGTCATCTCTGACCAGTCGAATAGGCTGCAAATCACCATTATTTAAAGGAAAGAGATACCACCTATACACAAAATATACTCTTTCTTTAATAAATTAAAAGAATAAATAGAATGCTCGAAATAAATATCAGTATTATTACGAAAGGAAAACATACTCTCCACCAAGAGCTCGTTCCAGGGCGTCATCATCTTCAAACCACTTTTGTAATTGGTCGCTTGCCTTAATGATTCAGAACAACTCAGAATTACAATTTCTTAATGCAACTGACATAATGTGCAATATGATTTCTTGTAAAGAAAAAGTGAGGATTCAAAAATTATAAATTACCAATAATCCAACCCCTAATATTCTTTAAATGTAAACAGATAATAATAAAGTTTAGGTTTAATTGATAACAAAAAGATCATAAGCATCAGCCAATTAAAGCAGGATTTTAAAATAAATAAAACAAGGGAACAAAATAATTCATTCCCACAAAACTTAAGTTTCACAGTATCCCAAAATCAAATTGTTACTTCTTTCTAAGCAAGATAGAATTATGAAAGACTATAAATATTCTGTTAATTTATTAAATCTAGTAAAAAGAGAAATATTATCCATTCATTTGTCCTTAAATGGACGCGCCAAATCTTAAAAATAATAGCTCACTCGCCTACAGATTAACTACAGTTAAATACTAAAAATTATATGTTAAAACTAGCTATGGTAGCGTTTCCTGAAGGTTAGAAGTGTTTTGTACTTATAAAATTATTCCAGCTCCTTATGCATGATTTTTTATCACTGAAATTCAAAACGTACCTTATCAGAGAGGCGGCAGGTAGGTGATCTTCCTTCAAGTTTTGAGCTGTAGAAAGCGTTTTTTAAGTTAAATTTGAAACTCAAATGCTTGAGTAATGGGTAATAATCAGAAACCGGTTAAGCCAGAAAGGAGAAAGCAAAAGAATGAGCAGTGAGATGGCCACATAATGCACTAGTTAGAAAGCCCTCCAATTAAGGTATGATTACTGTCTAATCGGCCAGTTCTCCTAATAAATATAATTAAATTTTTAACAGAAACTATGATATACAGGAAGATATGGAAACCAAATCAACTATAGCATCCAATATATAATTCTATTTTTTGTTCAACTTATGAACGGAATAATAAGAATTTCACCAGAAATATTCTTGGGCTTAGAAGAATTACTAATTGGATGCTGATTGAAGAAGAGTTGGAAGCCGATGAAATATATGATGAGGCTTTCTGGGGTAGAAAGGCTTCTCCGAAAGATAATAAAGATCACTATGACAACATCGATGGTGCAGAAGATATTGATCATATGGTTGTTGAAGTCGTGCAAATGGTGGATCATACATTCGATCAGCCTATTCAAAAGATGCATGCTCGCACGAATGCAATCTCAAATCTATAGAATGAAAAGCAGGCAAGAGGTAACCAAGAACAACACCTATGAATAGAACACCTCAACCACAACACGAAGCTGAAGAGGCCGAAAAGACTTCTGAAGTTGTGATAAGATTACAAAGAAAGGTGCAATCTCATATACAGAAGAAAAACCAGGAAATTAACCAGCTTCATGTTCGTCTTGATGAAATAAGTGGAATGATAAAAGAACAATTTGGACAGCTTAGCCTAGTAGTTGCAGTTGGACGACAACAAGCAGTGAAATCTCTTGGGATCTGTCAATCCAATATTGGATATAGGAGGCACCCAAGCTATTCTCTCCGATGTTCTAGTTACTCGGGAAAGTGAATTAGAAACTCTACAAGAGCCAGCATTAGCAGTCCATAAAGAAGATGGAATTGTAAGGCCCAAACTGAAAATCTTATTAATCAAAAGGTTAAGACAATCATCACTTCTGAAACTGTTGAGGTCTCAATGGGCAAAGGTCGAGCATACCCCACTAAATATGATTTTGTACAATACACAAAAGAATAATTTGTACCAAAGTTTAACACATTCTGGCACTAAAAATCCCATACAACATTTGGTTCAATTCAAAGCTACTTGTAGTAATACTTAAGGGAATAATGTCTTATTACTTTGCCAATTTGTTAGCACCTTCACCAGCACAGTCTTCGAATGGTATGCTGAGTTATCCAATGACTCAATCAAAACATTTGCAAAGCTAGAGACAATGCTTGCTAAAAGATTTGTGAGTGCCACAAAGAAAGTGACTGTATCGCTCTTGAAAGAAGAAATGGTGAGTCTCTTACTAAATATATCACAAGATGGTGGAATCTTAGCATAAGATGTAAGCAACAACTCACTGAAAAATATGCTATGGAACTTCTCATATGGAACATTGATGACCAAATGGCTCCTTATCTACTAACGGTTAACTCCTAAAAGGAGTAATAAGCCCAAACAAAACAAACTAATGAACAATTCCTAAAAGGAGCAATAAGCCCCAAACAAAACAAAGTGGAATGTTTATTGCTTCTTTTAGGAGTTGCCCGTTATTTGTTTAGAATGAAATTTATTGCTCCATTTAGGAGTTGCCCGTTAATTTGTTTTATTTGGAGCTTATTGCTCCCTTTAAGGGTTGCCCATTAGTTTGTTTTGTTTGGGACTGATTGCTCCTATTAGGAATTGCCTGTTAGTTTGTTTTGTTTGGAGTTTATTATTCCTTTTAGGAGTTGCCCATTAGTTTGCTTAGGATGGGGCTTATTGCTCCCTTTAGGAATTACCCATTAATTTGTTTAGGATGGAGCTTATTGCTTCCTTTAGGAGTTGCATGTTAATTTATTTTGTTTTGGGGGTTATTGCTCCTTTTAGGAGCTGACCGTTAGTTTGTTTGGAGGATGGGGCTTATATCCATTGGAAAATCTAGAAATTGATTTATACAATTGTTATGAATTCTTTTGCTTAAGAATTTCAAATTGATAATTTATTCATTGAAAGAGTTAAACGGCTTGTGATTAACTCTTTTATATTTTGGAATAATAGGGCGTAAGTATTTAGTTTCAACTCTCATCTTTTAAGATCAACTAATTGAGTCGAGGTTGTTTGCTTTTGCTTATATTTAGTAAAAAAAAAAATGCAAATAAACCTACATAGGTTCAGTAACCCTAAGATTCCTTTGGTTAATTATATATATACCTGCAATTTTTTATAACCTTTTTTTTATTCAAGGTTCTAACATAACTTATGTTTCATTTGCAAGTATCATAGAGAAGGATCAGCTGAAGGCTAAGAGTTTGACTATTATGATTACAAATTAGACAGTTTGAGTCATCTAAAAGAACCTTCTTTTAGTGCAAAGACTTCTTATTTTAGGAGTTTAATGTTTTAACATAGCTTTGTTACTATTTTCCTCTCTTTTTTACTTAAAGGAATATATCATTTATTATCCATATAATAATAATACTCTTCGAATGGATTGATAAATAAATAAAAAGGCACTTACATTAATAATCAATTAATTAATTAAAAATATTTTTAATAAAAATATCTATATAATTTGAGATAAAATTAGATTTACCCCCTCAAATTTGAAATCATTTTCTTGCTCAAAAATATAAAATTTTAATTATAAATCATTTTTTTTAGAGAATTCCTCAAAATATTTAAAATCAGTTGAAATAAAAAATTATTTATTTTAATTTTTTTAAAATTAAAAAATAACAATTTTGTCTGAATTAATTATGTGAGGATCCTTTGTCATTTTTAAATTTCAGTAACCTCTTGCCATCCGACCCCCTGTGTAGGAGGTGTCAGGTAGGCACTTACCTTTATTCATCTTGGTTGGATCAAAGATAAGACAGCGCAGGGTCTTCTAATTTATTCTTTCATGGTCGGATCAAAGATACAACGGACGCAAGGCTTTGCTATCTTTTTGTATGTGTGGAATTTAGTTATAATAAATTTCATCTAATTGAGGGGCAAATTGTTGATTATGTGCTATCAAAGTTGCACATAATTGAATGAGCGCTAGTGTCGGAGCCATGGGACAGGTCGGAGTCACAGGATCGAGGCGAATTGCATGCTCTGATGAAGGTCACGAGCTATTACGGGACCTAGGGACGAGTTAGGGGTGCGATCGTGTAAGACGCGATCAAGCCGCAAGTGGGAGACGGGGCGTGGGTTCGAGTAGGACGGGTCACGGGACGCAATTGCGGTTTGAGACGCCGGAACCGAGCTATGGGTCGAAGCGGGCTTGTCCTTGAGCAGGACATGGGTGTGTGGGAGTAGGACGTGCGCACGAGCACGACGGGAGTCGCTTGGAATGAATTCCTATGGATGAGAGTGGGGCGGATGATTGTAGAGTTCCGGGAGTTCTTTTCCTTTTTACCTCGGGCTAGAGTCGCGTCTCTTCAATGAAACGAGTGGATTGACGGTTTCTAAAGTAGTTGTAATGATTTTAAAATCCCCCCCTTTTTTTTTTAATTCCTTCATATATTGGGAGTCATAAAAAAGAACTTTCATTTACAAAAATTTCGAAGAATAAGAAAAAATGGGTAAAAATTTATCTCTCTTGTTTATTTATTTTTTTTCTTTTCTTCAACACTGATGCACATAAACATGTAATGTGGCAATAAGATAATCTTAAGAGACAAGCCTATGATTCTCTTAGTATACACAGTATGGAAGCAGCCCACTACTAAATTAAGCCCCCTTTAAGCGCCTGTCAATAGGAACTGGGAAGGGGATGAACAACCCTGAACCTATATTGAAAAGGGGTTGTTCTCACGACTCAATTTCGTGACATTCTGGCCAGAATAAAGGCAAATAAGTTATTTGAAATAACCATTGCTCTAAACCAACCGTCTCATTATACCATCTCACAAATTACTATTATAGATATTTTGTATAATTTATTTCAAAAGAAGCTGCAAATAACACAAATATCTACATATATCCCACAAGAAAAAACAAAAGAATGAAATACTGAAAGAAAATATTAGCTTATAACGAACCTGTTGCCACCTAGGACCCAACTTAGCATTAAAGGCATCGCATATTTGATGATAAATCTGCCACCAACTCTCCCAGGATGTGGTATTTTTAATTTTGTCAAGAACTACCGAAGTGCCATTCACCCAGTAAAACTAGTTAGAGATTTTGAAATGTAGCCCAAAGGAAAATTACAATTTAAGGTAAAAAGCAATCCGTATCATACCGACAAAGGTCCAAGCCCTACACCCAAATATGGCCTATAAGTAGAAGCCATGATTGCAGCCATTCTCGCCATTCCATAAATTACAGCCACACGAAGTCTTCTTTCCTTCTCATATCTGCAAGCACATATTACAAAATGCCACTGATTCTATTAACAGAACGCACAAGAGATAATCAAATCTAGAATTGCCTCTGGCTCATAAACTTCGAAAACATATAAAGTCTAACTAGGATACGTTTGATTTGTGGGACTTATAGGAAAAGCAAATTCATAGTATTTCAAAATTTCACATTTGGTGTTCGGTTTCAATGTAATTATTAGATAATTGGATGCGACTAAGATTTCATTTGGGACAGCTTTTGTGCTGCTTCGGAAAACGGCTGTCTAGTGTAAGATTTTTTTTAATTCAATAAATTTTGGTACTAGAAAATTGTTTTAGAAAGCAACAAAAGCTGTCCAAACGACCCCTAAATGCATTCTTCCTTTGAAAATCCATTGCCCAACCTTACTCAAAATGGGAAATAAAAAATTACTGGATCTCGGCAAATGCTCGCATGTATCTTGTCATGAGAAATAAAAACTAAATGTCCCATCAACCAAACAACAACAACAAGAAGCCTTTATCCCATTATGTGAGAACGGTTACATAAATTATTTTTCTTCATTGTGTCTCATCAAACAAACAACAAAGAAAAATATTTTCACTTGAGTTTCTCCTCAAACAAATAAACTATTAAAAACTAATTTCAATTCGATTCCTTTACCATTTTCATTTTCATTCCCTCTCTTTTAATTCTCACAAACCTAACAAAGCCTAATGGTATTATCCTATTCTCAACATTTTTCCCGAATGCCAGAAAAGAAAATTAATGTAATGAAAGTTGTGTATTTTAAACCATAAAACACGGGGCTATAATTTCCCTAAGAGAATGCAAGACGGATGAACCAGATCAATCATAAGGCTACCACACTAAAAATTAGAACTAGTTTGAATTTCAACTTCTTTAGAAGTTCTGTTTTTTTTTTTTTTTTTTTTCATAAATGTAGTATCCAAGCATTGAGAACTTAAATTGCAAGTTCTAGAATGCAGAACTTTGCAACACCATTAGAAAACAAAGACGCTTACCGTTTTAGAGAAGATTTTATATCCACGGGTTTTCTGCTCTGAATGCTTTTTTTCCAAGCTTTCTCAAGTTCAAGTGCAAGCTGGTAGCTATCCTACAAGGGCAATAAAAGTTAGGGTAAAACATGACCTTACATTTTAATGTAGGATTGTGCTTACATTAAAATATAAGATAATTTATCCATTCATAGGAGCTAGAAGGGGAAAAAATGCACGAAACATACCTCAATAGCCATGCAGCCACCCTGACCCATGTTTGGCTGCATTGCATGAACAGAATCCCCAAGCAATGTCACACGCCCTTTTCCCCAAGTAAAGATTGGGATGCGATCATAAATGTCACGTCTAAGAATGGCTTCCTCGTCGGTTGCATTTATCAAATCAATAACATTATCACACCACCCATTAAATATCTTGAGAAGTACTTCCTTTTTACCTGACATAAGAATCTTGCATGATAAATTAGTATTCATAGAGTAAAACGAAGATGAACTCAAACTTTTTAATGTTTATAGATGATGAGCCTAACAATAAAAAAGCTATAGGTGTGGATAGATAACCGCATAATGTAGTTTATTTTAAAAATATTGCCAGATATATTGAATACTTAATACTGCCATTCTAGATAATTTCCTTTTTGACACCAACTGACATACGGTCATGAATTCAAGTCTTTTACTTCTATTGTCATTTGCTTATTGAAGACTGAAAATGGAAACATTAGCTTCTAAGCCTAGTTAGATTCTATTAAAATTTGATTAAGAGACAATTTGATTCTTTGTATGTTATTGGAAGTGGATGAACCTCAGTTCTTAAAGTGAGTCGAAACATTTGTTTGCATAACGTGCCTAGGTAAGGCTTGTAATAGAGATAGTGATGAGTGGTTTCATAGGTGGAACTATGGGAAGATTACGAAATTTTCTAAGATGGAAAGTGCACCCGATCTTTTGATAAACTCATATGCTTTGCATAAGATGATTGGATATGGCTTGCAATGGAGTTAGTTTTGCAGGTTTTTTAGTCGGAAATGTGGGAAGATTAAGACTTTTTCTAAGGTGTCCCAATGCACCTAGTCTTCCACTAAATTCATGTGGTAAATTTTTGGGCTCTTGCCTTTGCTTTTGGGCCTGGATTGCTGGCATATCACAATCTCGGCCACTGGAAAAAAAATCCATTTCTCTTATAAAATTGATTTCATGCATTTAAACTAAATAAATAAAATATTTTTCTAGTTTACTATTATTATTATTATGAGTCTAAGAAAGCAATTTGAATGCAAAGATTTAGCTTTTAATAATGGGTGGGGACAAGAAATATATGGGAGCTTATACCCCTCGCCCGCACGAGTGATTGGGGGAACTAACACCCCGACGAACTAACACCCCGACGACCCACTAAAATAAAACGAAAGTGATTGAAGCGACTAAAGATGAGGAATAACAAACTCTTATATTTTAAATCTAAGACCGACTTTAAAAACAAAATTACAACAACTTACAAACTCGACTCGAAATTAAAAGACACCCTAACCTTGCTTCACTTTGAGAAGAATGATACAGATGGAGTGGCACTTGCGGAGAGACGAAAGAGGTTAGAAGCCCGAGAAGAAGGGTGGCAAGAGCTCGCAAGATTTCCGGAGGGGATGAGAAGAAGGTGGACAAAGCTCGCAAGCTTTTCCATGAAACCCGCAGGTTTACATTTCCAAAAATCGCATCACATAACATATCTAAAACAGCCACAAACAACTCCTATTTATAGGCACAAAAGAAGGAATACAAACAGCCACTAAAACTTAATTAAAAGCTAATTAAAATAGGAAGATAAAAGGCCAAGACACTAAAAACTGCAGTAAAAACTACACATAAATCAGCAAAAGTCTCTTGGAATTCCTCCAAAACAGCACCAAATCAGTCCCAAAAACTGTCCAAATTCGTCAAAAACAGCCCCAAAATCTCTTCAAACAGCAGCCCAAAAATCTTCAAAACGCAGCCCAACATTGCACAGGAACAGGGCATTAAATCCACGGGGAGAGCCCCCTGGTTGCGTCGGGAAAACAGGCCAGCTAGGGACCCGAAAACAGCCACAGGAAACAGGGGTTAAGGCACGGAAAACAAGAGCCAGCCGCAGGAAACCAAGAGCCAAGGCGCGGGAACCAGCAGCCATTCACGGGAACCAAAGGTCAAGCCACGGGAACCAAGGAGCCATCCACGGGAACCAAAGGACAACAACATGGGGGAATAAACACAAATTATTGAGCTAAAAAGGTTCTTTACTAGACATTAATGAGGCTAAATCTAGTAGAGACCAAATATCACCAAAAAAAAATCTAACTTTTTTTTCCCCCCCCCCCCCCCCCTTTGTATGCATTAATAATTTATATAATAAATTAGATACTGAGTACGAAATATATTTGTATAAGTTAGCTAAACAAAGAGATAGTAGTAAGGATTTAGTTCAAGTGAAGTGTATTAAGGATGAAGGTCAAAAAGTGTTTTTATTAGAAAAAGATATTCAACAAAGGTGGATGAGATATTTTGCTAAACTTTTCAATGAAGATTATGAGAATGTGATTGACTTTAGTGACCTTAGCATCCTAAATGAATTTTTTTTTTTTTTTATCGATGTATTAGTAAAACCGAAGTTAAAGAGGCTTTAAGGAAAATACAGTATAAAAAAGTTGTTCGACCAAATGATATTCCAATAGAGGTGTCGAAATGCTTAGGAGATAAAAAAATTTCTTGGCTTACTAAACATTTTAATATTATTTTGAAGACTAAAAAGTTGTCAGATGAGTCGAGAAAGAGTGTGTTGATTCTTATTTTTAAGAATAAAGATGATGCACAAGATTGTGCGAATTATAAAGGAATTAAGTTAAAGTGTCATACTTAAGAACTATGGGAGAGAGTTATGGAGCATGGGATGGGCTGTGACGCAAATGTTTCTCAAAATCAATTTGGATTCATACCCAGTAGGTCTACTATGTGTTGACCTCGTTTTTATTTTATTTTATTTTTATTTTATGTTGTTTTGCCCTCGAGCACGTCCGATCAAGTTGATCGAGCCTCGTCGAGCTCGACGCAATTTGAATCGATGTCAATTTGAGTTTGATTTTTTTGTTGAATTAGCGTAGCCGAGCCGCATTGAATCCGAGTTAGCCTGAATTGAGCCGAATTGGGTCAAGTTTGAACCTAATTTCAGATCAATGGGTTTATCTAAATACCAATTAGAGCTTAATGAACTTTCCAAACTCATTTTAAATTCAATCCCATATCAGTAAATAGATCATACGACCCTGATTTAATCGAAATTTGAACTTTGTCGTCGCCACTGTTTTTTGTCGCGCGATATACCTGTTTTGGGAGATATACATATGTCTTTAGAAGGATCGGAAATACGGAGCTCCTTTATGGTGCTTCTTTTCGCGTGGAATCGAGCGGGATCTCTCTGGACTGGCGTGGAGGAAAGCTCCAATCGTGGTTTTGACGAGGGCATTCGCACCCGCTCCCAGGGACGCTCTGGTTTTTCGATTCGCAAAAGCAAGAGGAGCCGAAGCTCCTCTCTCGGGTGACTTAGCTCAGGCGAAGCTCTCCATCTCCCTCTGGTTCGCAGAAGCCCAGAGGCCGAGCTTCCCCACCACTCGGTCTCCTCCTCTCTCGTGAGCCAGAAGACCGTCTTCTTGCTCCCGTCTCCTGGTGGTTCACACGACACCAGAGGCCAGAACCCCAGCCCCTTCCCCTTTGGTTCGCGGTAGGAGCCTGGCCGAGCTCCCTTTTCCCCAGTCACTGGTTTGCGAACCATAGGAGCGACCGAAGCATTCCCCACACCTCTTGGCTCGTGATTGCAAGTGCAGGCTGAAGTCGCCTCTCCCTAGCCTTACTAAACGTTCTACCCTAGCCAAGCCTCTTCCCTCGGCTCTCTTGCGGGAAGACCAGGTTGGACATCCCCCTCTCCCTCTCTCATCCGAAGCCCTAGACGGAACCGATCCCCTGCTCCCGTCACTCCTTGCACGCTAGAACTGGATTCGGCTCCAGCCCTAGTCGCTGCCTCTCCTTCCTTCCTTATGCAAGATGAGTATTCTCTCACTCTTTCTTCTCCTTCTCCTTCCTCTCACCTCCATTCTCTCCTTCCTACTCATTATTCACTATGTTAAAAATTATGGTAATGGCTATGTCTCTCCAAGCAAATGATTTATGTGTTGATGTAGGTTGTTTAAAAAAAAATTGAATGGTTACATACGAGATTTACATTCTTTTGTTATTTTGGTTTATGTAATGTGATTAGGATGTGTTCAGATAGCACAAATCACCGTGTATGCTTATCAACTTTATCCTACCAACTACTTTGGCAAGTAAAGTCTGAGAAAGGAATGTGTTACTCTTGAATCGTTGGAAGGAGATGAATGATTTTTCTTTCTTTTCTCAAATATCTTTTTTTTTTTTTTTTTGACATAATTGTTAAGTTGAAGTGAATATATTTGTTGGGGTTTGGGAGGGAGAGATGATAAATGCTCATGAGTCTCTTATGAAACATCTTCGGAGTAGTATTGGAAAACTTTCCTTGGGTTTCAAATGTGAGTTTGTTTTCTTTTAAATCCAAATGCTATTTCGTTTTATGTTGGTTGAAGTGTCTCTTGAACTTTGAGGAATAGATTGATCCTCCTTGTGGTTCCATGTCTTGATAAGAATGTTAAATTCCAAATTCCTATGAGAAGAATTATTTTGTTGCTGGGAATGAAGGATTATAGTTTCTTGTTCTCAAATGTTTGTGGTTTCATTAAAAAAATGACTAGAGTGAAAGGGGAAAGAGATTCGTTATTTGCTTCATGTCTCTTATGCGGTTATTTTCTCTTGAAATTGGGAAAGAGGTGAGCCCTCTAAGTTCATCTCTCTTGCACCTAATTACCCTCCTTCCTTAAGTGGATGCATCTTGTCTCCCTTTTATTTGGTGAAGTTTCGTTGGTGTAAGGATTAGTGGTTTCCATATATGGATCACTCATGTTGTTTTAAAACTCTTGGAGGTGATGAAGGATTTGTTTCATGATTGAAAGGTTGATGTAGCTTGATATTGTTTTGATAGTTGAAAGGAAGAGATTTATATGGTAAGATTTAACTTTTGAGGGATATTTGTTGTTGTTTCTATACCTCTTGGGTTGGATATTGATCTTCTACGCCTTACTTTATCTAGATATGAGCTTTATCATTATAACATGAGATATCGCCCTTAACAAAAGGCATTGTTGTGATCATATGAATTTTACCATATCGGAAGGTTGGCCCAACATATGAACCGTTGTGGATTCTTTTGTTCTTTGAATTATACACTTGCAAACTCTCTTGAAATGTTTGACGATGCATAATATGGAGGTTGTTGGAGAATGGTCGAGTGTTTTAAATCTGAGTTTTGCATAGATTCATGCATGGTATTGCTTCGTGTTGG